GTCAGGGCCCGCGGGCGGCGGGCGGCGGCAGCAGCGCGCGCACTCGCCGGCTCCGCTCGCTGAGGGCTCCCCGGTTTCCATGGCGCGGCGGGGCCGAGCAGAAGGCGGCTGCCAGCTCGCGGGCCAGCCGGGCCTCTTCCCTCCGTCAGACCCGAGACCCGAGCTTTATATAGAGAGCCCCGGCTGCCTGCTGCATACTGAGAGGTTCGCTCCCTCTCCGCCCCTCTCTCCCCAGCTAGCCGCATAAACAAAAAGGTTGCGCGTCAAGGCGCAACCGGCTGAACCCCGGGTGCGAACGCGTGCAGCTCCCAAATGGCCCGGGAATGGGTTTTGTTGAGCGAGTGTTAATCGCTCTTCGACACATGGCTGCGGGGGGAAAAAACAACATTCGCCCGAGCAGCCAATTTCCAAGTGAGGAGTCTAGGAGGCGATAAAATTAAGCAGTTCTACACGTTTTGTGTATTTCTGCAAAAAGGCCAAGTGGCTGGTAATTGCTTGACTCGAGACTTTTTGGAATGTGGTCAATGCAACAAGCTCTGCATCCCGTCTGCTAAAAGCTGGGATGTGGACTAAATTAAAAGGAACGCCCTTAACTCCTCTTTCCGGCAGAATGAAGCTGGGTGAATGAACAGACTCCTTACGAAAGGAAATTTTCGTTAATGTATTGACAGACTAGGTTCTGCCTAGTATTATTTGTAGATTAAAAAAAAAAAAGTGAATGGTAAAAGACTGAACCGAGACTGAACAGCCGCGAGAACCGAAGATTGGAGTCATGTGATTTAGGCATAGAGCTCTATATTATTTTCTCCTATCTTTGTGATTTTCCTCAACATCTTACCAGTGCCCCCTGAAGAGAAGTCTTGAATTTCATGAGTACACCTCAGTCACTACTTGGCATTTTGTCACTCGATGATAATTAGAAATTATTCTGTGGAGGCAGGGTGTGTGTAGAATGATAATGAAATCTTGAAAAGTTATGGGACCAGTTGTGAACCTCTCCGGGACCCTGTTTCTCTTATTTAAGTTGACCCTCACTTATTACAAAGATCCATTAAACTTGGTAAAAAGCGTTATGCTTGGAAAACATATATAGGAAAGATAATATATAAATGCCATAATTTTTTTCAAATGTTTTATATGATAGAGCTGAGCTACTTAAAAGTTGTAGATAAAAGCTCTTAATGCAAGTAATAGTGTCTCAGCTATTCATTCAGTTACTGTGTAGGAAAATAATCTAATTAATACTTAAGGATCTACCCATCAGGAAAGTGAGATATGGTTTGTTTCAGATAATGAAATCAGTAAGGATAGGTACCTAATGCATGTCTCAACGTCCTAGAATTATTGTTGGCTAAATAAAATAAAACTTATAGAATGCTTGCTACAAGGCCTCACACATAGGAAGCTCTCAACAATTTTAGGCTATGTTTAAAAAATGTAAGTCCTTAACAGATGTTAAGCTGTCTGATGAAATGTTCATCATTTCGGTTTCATAAACATCTTTTAAGGTGTCTGTAATGTGGTAAGTACTGTGCTTTCAGAAGGTAGTGGTGAATAAGATATCCCCCAGCCCCCCACCCCATCCTCAAGAGGGTTACAGTCATTGTGATCACAATGGCCACATAAGCAAAGGTGTTTAAAAAGGGCCACATTCAATAGCAAAAGCACATTTTAACCAGAGAAGTGGTACAAGGAGGGAATTGATAAGTCTATTTGGGACAACCAGGAAAACCTTTTTAGAGTAAAAGAAACCTAAGTTGGGATTTCTAGAAGGATCAAGAAATAGTGTAGTTTGTGTGTGTGGTGCAGGAGGGAAAAGAGGAGGAAGGAACAGTGCTTCTAAGGAGTAGGGATTGCTGGAGCAGAGATGTGGCTGAAGAAAGAAGGGCTTGTGCTAACAGGGGCCTAACATACCGTGATAAAGCATTTTGGATTTATTCTGTAAGCACTGGTGAAATATTTTAAGCAGGAGAATGGAATGGTCAAAGTTTACACTGTTTTTTTTTTTTTTAAGATTTTATTTATTTATTTGAGAGAGAGAGAGAATGAGAGATAGAGAGCACGAGAGGGAAGAGGGTCAGAGGGAGAAGCAGACTCCCTGCTGAGCAGGAAGCCCGATGTGGGACTCGATCCCGGGACTCCAGGATCATGACCCGAGCCGAAGGCAGTCGCTTAACCAACTGAGCCACCCAGGCGCCCCAAAGTTTACACTGTTTTAAAAAGATTTTATTTATTTATTTGACAGAGAGAGAGAGAGCACAAGCAGGGGAGTAGCAGGCAGAGGGAGAGGGAGAAGCAGGCTTCCCTACTGAGCAGGGAGCCCGATGTGAGGCTCAATCCCAGGACCCCGGGATCATGACCTGAGCTGAAGGCAGAGGTTTAACCAACTGAGATACCCAGGCGCCCCTAAAGTTTACATTTTATAAAAGTCTCTCTGGCAGCCCTATGGAAGACAGATTTAGGGAAGGCTGATACTGGAAGAAGGAAATCATTTACAAAATCATTGCCATAGTTCAGGCAAAAGGTGATGAGAAGATGTATAGTAAGGATGGAAATGAAAGAACATATTTGAGGGATACTTAGGAAATAGAATCTATACTACTATCTGAATCATAAAATGTGGGGAGACATGAAAGTGGAGTCTATATATGGTCCCAGGTTTCTAACCTGTTTAACTAGGTAAATGGTGATGGCTCAAACAAAGACAGAGAAAACAGGGAATATAGGAGGAAGAGCAGGTGAAATGCTTTTAGGTTGTTTTATTCAGGGAAAAAATAATGAATTTGGTTTTGGATCTTGAATCAGTCAGGTCAGGCTGGGCTATGCGGCAATAAAAAGGAACTCCAAACTCTCATTGCCTTAGAATATATAGGTTTATTTCTGACTCATGCTGTATTCCATTTTTGGTGGGTAGGATTTACTCCAGGTCATCTCCACTTGAGGATACTAACTGATGGAACCTCTTTCCACTGAAACCATGCCATTTGTCATAACAGGAGGAAGGGAATAAAATTAACAGATTTTTAAAGACTTACTAAGATGTAGGTGGAGAAGCTATAAAAAGGACAATTAGAGATATGAAGTTCAGAGTTCAGTAGAGAGTTTAGGACTAAATAGTTAAATGTGGGAGTCATAAGAAAAGAAGTAGTAATTTAAAATTGTAAGGACTGATTCATTTTCCCAGGAAATTTTGTAGCGTGAGAACAGGACCAAGGACAGAGTTCTGGAGAGCCACATTTCTTGCGAAGTGAGAAGAGATGCAAAACAAAACCTCCCTGGGCGCCTGCGTGGCTCAGTTGGTTAAGCGACTGCCTTCGGCTCAGGTCATGATCCTGGAGTCCCGGGATCGAGTCCCACGTCGGGCTCCCTGCTCAGCAGGGAGTCTGCTTCTCCCTCTGACCCTCTTCCCTCTCGTGCTCTCTCTCATTCTCTCTCTCTCTCAGATAAATAAATAAATAAATAAAATCTTAAAAAAAAAAAAAAAACCTCCCTGAAAAGGAATGGTGAAGGTAGTACAAGATGCATTTGTAGAGCAGGTGTGGTGGGACCATGGGATGAAAGAATTCCAGCAAGGAAGGAAAGGCCTAGGGCATTAAGTGCCACCACTGGGTCAAACAAAATAAGGATGCATGTTCACTGAATTTGGCAAGCAGGGGTCATAAGTGACTTTAACAACATCTCAAGTATATGGAGAGAGAAGTTTTTTTTTTTTTTTTTTTTTTTTTTACAGTAAATTGAGCTGTAGAGGTGAAAAAATAAAACGGTAAGTTGAGGCTACATTTTTGAGAGGAAAAAAGAGAGAAAAGGAATGTTGGGTCAGTAGAGGCATTTTGTTTTTAGGGTGCAAGAGGCAAAAGAATGTTTATAAGATGAAGAGATGAGGGAGGAGTGGAGAGGTCTCTAGAGAAAGGGGACTGGACAATGCTCCAGGTCCCCTAGGAGGAAAGAAGAAATGAGATCGGGAGCTGTGGGGAGGATTCTCATGCAGTTGGAGGGTATGCACCAGTGATTCCTCAAGAAGTAAGTTTAATCAAGGTGACTAGATCTGTCATGAAGAAGGAGGGGGCAAAGGGATGATGAGACATGAATCTGAGAGAACATCAGTTGTTTTAAAATTGTGAAAAAAATGCATTACTAGAAGTTACTGTGTAGGAAAATAATCTAATTAATACTTAAGGATCTATAATGATCTACCCATCAGGAAAGTTAGATATGGTTTGTTTCAGATAATGAAATCAGTAAGGATAGGTACATAATGCATGTCTCAATGCCCTAGAATTATTGTTGGCTAAATAAAATAAAACTTATAGAATGCTTGCTACAAAGCCTCACACATAGGAAGCTCTCAACAAAATTTAAGCTATATTTAAAAAATGTAAGGGAGAGCCAATTAACAAAAATATGGTAAAATGTATATTTGATCAAATTTAAGTAAACTGAGAAGTAGAAATATATATTGCTGGAACTAGACTATTTATACATTTATCCATTTGTTCCACCTATTTATACAGATGCTGAAGCTCATTGCCAGTGTGGCCAAGATCAAATAACTTATTCATGTTACATTTAAAATTTATTTAGAAGTCTATATGAGTCCCACTAGGGCATTTAAAACATGTGCTTTTTTATTAAGATGTAATTCACATTTAACATTATATTAGTTTCAGGTGTACAACATGATGATTCAATATGTGTATATATTATGAAATAATGATCACAGTAAGTCTAGTTAACGTCTATCACCACACATAGTTAAAATTCTTTTTCTTGTGATGGGGATTTTAAGATCTACCCTACTAGCAACTTTCAATGTACAAAAGATTATTAATAACTATAGTCACCAGGCTGTAGATTACATCCCCAGGACTTGTTTATTTTATAACTGGAAGTTTGTACCATTTGACAACCTTCATTCATTTCATGAACACCCATCCCCCACTTCTGGCAACCACCCATCTCTTCTCTGTATCTATGAGTTTGGGCTTGTTTGTTTGTTTAAAGATTCCACACATAAGTGAGATCAAATGTTATTTGTCTTTCTCTGACTTATTTTATTTAGCACAATGCCCTCAAGTGCCATCCACGTTGTCCCAAATGTCAGAATTTCCTCTTTTTTCATTATATATATATATATATACACATACATATATACATATTACATTTTCTTTATCCATTCATCTATTTACAGATAATTAGATTGTTTCCATGTCTTAGCTTTTATAAATAATGCTGCAG